GTTGTAATGTTATTAATTATATATATATATATATATATATATATATATACATATGGGGCGTCATTACGCCATATTACGTGACCGCCTAGTTACTCTTGACTTTTATCAGATTTTTACTGGTTAATTGCAAGTTCTTATGATTCATACATGATGTGGGGAGGCAACGGGAACTCGATCTATATCTCCCGTTCTACTGATCATTCTAGGCACTGCACTTTGCTCATCCTGGCTCATAATTCTCCTCATCCTGGCTGGGACTTAGGCTGTAATTGTCCTCCGCCATCCCACGCCACGACTTGTGGCTCACTCCTGGAAAGCTCACATAGCAGTTTGCTGGATCCTTGGCCTCCTGCGTACTGTTCTTTCCATCTGATAATTTTTCGCATATTGTCGTTTATAAATTGTCTAATGAAACCGAAAATCGTATTCGTTTGATAGGCTGTAGGGTATTTATATAATATATGGTACCATATTAACCATATTAACCATATTATGGTACGACTCATATATATATATATAATATATATATATATATATATATATCCTACGAATTCTGTTCAATGTAAAATGAGATTAATGTTCAGGGAACAGAGTGCACGTTAACAGCCATTAACTGCAATGCGGTTCCTATGTGTCAGGTATATATATATATATATATATATTATATATAGCGTTAACTGTGCAGGATACTTAGTTATACACTAATACATCATGTGAATTATTCAAGAGCAAAATACGAGCCATGAACATATCCATTCGTCTGCCGGCAGCCATAAACGCCTGAATCAGTGCGACGCGCACTAGCACGCTAGTTCTGCTGCCTGCCTCCACTAAAATTAACCCTCTTAGCGTTGCTATTAGCGATTCTTTTGATGCGCCGCAGTTATGAATAGTCGTTAGGGAAGCTCTCCTATTAGGTGCCGGCTTTACGTCCGAGCTTTCAGAAAGAATTGCACAATTTTGTTTGCACAGTAAATTGTGGGGGAAATCTTTGCTGGCGCATGTTCGCTAATTGCTGCATAACTAATATTGTTTATACTCACAACTTACCAATATTATCTATTATCCATTCCAGGAGGAGAACCGATCTGCAGGAGAGGCACCACCTGCGGCGGTTGCTCACGTGCGCCCTCCCAACTACCCACAGGAGAAGCCCCTGAGACAGCTCACGGATGGATGGGAGGAGCACAGGGATGAGGTGGGGAGGTTGTACTACTACAATGCCTTGACCGGATTCAGCACGTGGAAACCGCCGCGCAAGGCACCCAGTCCCGCAAAGAACCAGGTGCGTAGTGAATCTCTCAAGCCTGGTTCTAGTAAGAAACCCAGTCCTACAAAAAAACCAGGTGTGTAGTGAATCTCTCAAGCCTGGTTGTAGTAAGAAACCCAGTCCTACAAAGAACCAGGTGTGTACTGAATCTGTGAAACCTTGTTCTGGCAAGGCAGTTAGCCCTGCAAACAGTCACAATAAAGCTGTGAAGCCGTCCAACCAGGCTCACAGCTCGTGATGAGTGTCTGGTGTGCAGCCATGAAGCCATATCATATGAAGCCCAGCTGTGTCATCTCTGTACGACCTTGTGTATGCAGGTCTTAAAGGCATCCTCAGCAGTCCAGTCTGGATGGTGATGTGTGTGTGTGTGTATGGGTGGGTGGGGGTAAAAGCCTCTGCAACTGTCAGCCGTTTCCCAAACAACTGTCAGCCTCAAATCCCCTCATGATTCATGCGAAATATGCGTATGGAATTCATCCTGGCTGGCGCGCCATGACGTGCCGTGCATGCGTTCGCTTAATTACGCGAGAATGCGGAGCTGTGTTTTTCCATTTCGCTTGCTTAAGGACTATTTACACGATGCGTTCTAGACGTACACTGTGTATGACAATGCAAACGCAATGTCGGAAGAAATTAGAACATCCGTCATGTGCATCCGATATCGCAAGGGTCATACATTTGCATTGTCATACACGGTGCGTTTTTGAAGTACGTCCTAGACGTACGTCTAGGACGCATCGTGTAAATAGGCTTTTAGAACATCCGTCCTGTGCATCCGACATCGCAAGGGTCATACATTTGCATTGTCATACACGGTGCGTTTTTGAAGTACGTCCTAGACGTACGTCTAGGACGCATCGTGTAAATAGGCCTTTACACTGTTTCTCTGGTTACTTGCGTTATTGGCTGTTCTAGGGACAGCTCTCGTGCTTCCCCCCCCCTCGTTTTTCGTATTGGACAGCTTGTCATCCTTTGCTTTAAAAGTTGATGGTTATACCATTCTCCCGATCACCTGCGCACGCATGATAGCAGTGTACGGCGGAATTCAACAGCAGACTGTATTGCTTGGAACCTCACCTTACAGCCATATATTATACTTTATTGGCTTTCTTATCAAAAAATAAATAAGCCTATACCAATAGTTTGATGCACACCTACTAATTCCTACTGATGTGCGCTCGTGTACATGTGGACTCGCCTGCGCGTGTGCACACTGTGTTTCGCTACTTTGCCGTGATGGAACAACTGCAGGAAATGCGGCTCCCGTCCAACATCCACCTGTCCTAAATCCATGGGGACAGGCTGCTAGGAACGAGTTTTCTGTTTGCGGTAGCAAACTAGTATCTGGTCGACCGCAGTTAGTAACATGGGGCGTTAATTTACCTGTTTGTGTCGGGATCTACCTGCTAATACATCAAGGTCAGTTGGCTAAATGATGATGATGATGATGACGATGATGATGTTGCTCTGCAAATGTTTGTTTTTCGGCTATTGAATGATGCGTTGCTGCGCTGTGCTTGTGTGTACATACCCATGATCATATATGATCGGCACACAAGGCAATATATTATATTCACACGTGGTATGTAGCAGATTTTACAGATACCATTTACCGTCGTAACGGTAACGGCATTTCAGTACACTTGTTCACAGATGACATACTTGCAGTTGCACAAATGTTCACCAACAGGAATCATTGTACACTTATTTAAGAATGGCATAAATTTACACTTTTTTATCAATGGCGGCATCATATACTGGAATGGTATAAATTTACATTTGTTTGCCGATAACATTGTCGTCCACTTGTTTCAGAATGGCGTACATTTACACTTTTTTATGTATGGCGTTGCCAAACACTTGGCAACTAGCAGCATCGCCGTTAACTCGTTCACAAGCGTTGTCATTGCCACCCTCTCACTGCTTGCAGGTCCCATACGAGGAGCAGCCGGACGTCGCCAGGGCGATGCAACCCGTACAGGCATCGCGTCGCGACGGTGATGCTAACGTCCAGCGTTACCGCGACGATCGTCTCCCTGACGACGGTCCGATGTACCGCAGTGCGTTTGACCTGTCTCCGTCACCGGCGCAGCATCAGAGTTCGCTTGAACAGACGCGCTCAGCAACAAACTTCTACCTGTCGACCTTCACCGCACACAGGTACGAACAGCAAGGTGGCGGTGGCAGAGGAGGAAGCAGTAACAGCGGGAGAAGCAGGGAGGAGGCCGGGAGGACGGAGGAGGTATGCACCGAGGAGGTGCGGAAATGCGAGACAGGGAGGGAAGAGCGACGAGAGGATGATGGGAGGAGGATGGAAGAGGTGCGGCGTAACGAAGAGGTTAGATGGATGGAGGAAGTAAGGCGGAACGAGGATGGAAGGAGAACAGAGGAGGTTAGGAGAAATGATTCGCGAAGAGAGGAACACCGCACAGAAGAGCTGAGGAGGAACGAATCACGAAGGGAGGAACATCGATCGGATGATGGAAGGAGAAATGAGGATGGGAGGAGAAATGAAGAGCTAAGGAGAATTGAGGAGCAGAGGAGGAACAATCCACGTAGAGAGGAGCCTGTCTTTGTGTTTCCACAGAAGAAGGCACTGCCGCGACTGCCGACGGATGGGGAGCGTGCGCTGAGAGAGGAAGCTGAGAGACAGAGGTTCCTGCAGCAGCAGCAGCGGGAGGAGCTGCAGGCAGCGAGGCAGGCAGACATACGGCCGGCAGGAGATGAGAACGGACACATCTACGTCGAGGCCAAGTCCCTGGTGAGTAACTCATACAGATCTTCTTCTTCTCGGGTCTCTACACTACACTCGACCTACTGCCACTGCAGCACACATGACCTGGCACGGTAATTGAAAGCCTCAAGGTCCCCAGGTCTACAGGGCTGTGGTAATAGGAGGCACTCCATGAGATGTTCCATAATCTGGTCCCTCCCCCACGCAGTCACATCTGAATACTCGATTCGGCATTCGACATTCATCGCGGCCCCTGTTAGGTTACCCACCTGCGAATCCTTCTACCACACCACTACTCCTACAGATTATCGCCTTTATTGACCTATCCACCTGAGCAAGGTGACCACGGCTCTCTTAAGTATTGTTGCTTAGTTGGTCAAGCTCGCTCATTTTGTACGTGGTTTTACACATATGCATGCCAAAGTGTTGACTCTGCAGTACTCTGCAACTAGACAGCATTTGTAGAACGTTTTACCACAACACCGTTTGACTGGAAATGCTTACCAATCATGCCAAGCAGATGTGTTAATTAGCAATCAACCGTCCGACATGGGGTGATGTGTTCACTGGCATCACCAGTTGACGGTTCCCTCAGATACCGGTGTCTTCTCTTAGTTAGACACTGGTCCCTCTCATTTTACCAGGCACTAGATGCTGTAATGCAGCCAGACACCAGGTCTTGATGCAATCAGATCCTGGTACCTTGGGGCAATCATACCCTCAACGCCTGCTGCTATAGTCTTATAATGGTCCCTTAATGTTGCGAGACACAAGTTCCTGTTATACAAGCCGACACCAATTCCCAGGAGTAGGTAGACAACGACTGTCCTTGATCTAGCCAACCATCGGCTCTCCTGGTAAAGTCAGATACTGATTCCCTCGATGCAGCCAGAAATCGATTCTGCGGATGCAGTTATTTAGATACCAGGCTCACTGATGCATGTAGACGTTGATTGGAAGACCTTGAACGGACTTGATGTAATCAGACAGTGACTTGATGCAGTCAGACACCCGTGGCCGTTTATCTTTAGTAGCCATCGTAATCTGTAAAACGTCAACCATCTGTAAAGTCGTAAACGTCTGTAAACGTAGTCTGTAAGTGTAAACGTAGTCTGTAAACGTAGTAAACGTAAGTCTGTAAACGTCGTAATCTGTAAAGGCAACCATCAACACTGGTTAACTCCTCTCCTCGTCCTTCTTCTTCTTCTTCTTCTTCTTCCCTCTTCTTCCTTCTTCTTCCTTCTTCCTTCTTCTTCCTTCTTCCTTCTTCCTTCTTCCTTCTTCCTTCTTCTTCTTCCTTCTTCCTTCTTCCTTCTTCTTCCATCTTCCTTCTTCCTTCTTCCTTCTTCTTCCTTCTTCTTCCTTCTTCTTCCTTCTTCTTCCTTCTTCTTCCTTCTTCTTCCTTCTTCTTCCTTCTTCTTCCTTCTTCTTCCTTCTT